GGCCCATCAGGGTAAGCCACTGGTGGGCCGTGAGACAGTTTGTTTACCTTGAGTGTCCGCAGGCACGGAGCCCTGCTGCTCCGGAGTGACTGCGGTTCGCCATTCCCAGCCAATGGGAGTTGCGGGAAGTGGTGCAGGTTGGCTGCCACTTCCCGCAGATCCCATTGGAGCCAAAGGTTGCTGACCCCTGAACTAAGCCGACAGGAGAAGCTCTCCTGTCGGCATAGTAGCATCCTCACTGAAGGGCTACAGCGGCACAACTGCCGTGTTTTATGTGTAGACCTGCCCTCATTCTGCAATATTCCACATGAGCTGGGCTGACCCAGCACTGCTCCCAGTATCTAGATGGGGCAGCGCCACTGATTTATACAAAGGCATCAGAACAGTCTCTGTAAAATTCTCCATCCTGTCCTTCTGCATCTGAACCTCTCGTTTGCTTTTTTTAAAACACAGCTGCACTTTGAGCAGAGGTATTCACTAAGGTACAATGGACCCACTTTTTCTGAGGTGGCACAGTTACAATATACCCCTGTAAGATGTATCAGTATTTGAAATTGCTCCTTCTAATGTGCATTAGTTTGGGTTAATCATCGCTGAATTCCCCTGCCAGGGTGTTTCCCATTCACTTTGCTTGGTTAGGTCTCACTCATTTTCTTCACAGACTTCTGCAAAATTTTGCTCCCTTCCTGCTTAGCCCCCTTTCCAGATATTTACTAAATATTTTAAGCCGCAGTTTCCTCCCACAGACCCTTCTGACATCTCCATAGTTAAGCTATAGCCACGTTGGGAATTGTGTCTTTTGTGCTTTACACAACACCAACAATATGGAGAACCCTCCCCTGGACACAGCTGACTTCAAATAGAGCTGAGCAAATGTTTTCTACTTAAACATATTTTCAGTTAAAACATGCAGATTCAGTGACACCAAAATATTTAGCAAATTCATGTCGATTTTACCAAATTGTTTCAGTTGAAAAAACTTTAAAATATATATAAAACATTAAGTGTTTCATTTTTATAACAAAATGTTTCCATTTTTCAGACTGAAACAAACTTTACTTTGATTTTATTTTTTAACAATTAAAATACATTAAAAAATGCTCAAAATTTAAATGAAACAAAATGTTTAGTTCAATCTGCAATGGAAATGTTTTCAACTTTCTGATTCACGAAAAATCTTGAAAAATATTGTTTTGCATTTGACACAAAACAATTGTTTTTCAATTTTTCAGCATTTCCAGTGAACCAGAAAAAATATTATTCGCCCAGCTCTAGTCCCAATTAACTGTATGAACATGCAAAGACAAGGTGCAGCTATATACACATTGCTGCTCCTGCTGGTCACTGGAAGCTTCTAAAACAAAGAAACCAGTGAGCGCCACTAGAGGGCTCACCTACTAGTTAAAGGGATGCTCCCTTATGCACTACAGGAATGGTCTGTTTTGTCCTTTTCTTTGTTTCCTTTCTTTTAGACAACGTCCAATCCATGATACAAACTTTGCTTTCTTTATCAAAGTTTAAATACATTTCCCATTTACCTGTGATTTATGGGCTACCTGTGACTGATCCAAACGTTTACAACCCTGCCTTTTCACCGCCTTTGGCTGGGAAGCAGAGCCTGTAAGGTGGTCTATTTCCGTCTTCCTTGGTGACTCCGGCTGGTGCCCAGAGAACTGTTTAATTCTGGTCTCTTGTCCCAGCGACAGCACGAGCTGGGGGAGATATGATTTTATTGACGGAAGCAGACTTTCCTCTGGGATGTGGTACTTGCTACAGTTACCCTGGCCTTTGTCACAACTAGATGACCACAATCCAAGGTGCTTTTCATGGAGTTACAACTTAAAGAACCCTCATAAATAGAGCTGGCCACATTTTTTTTTAGGTGAATAATATATTTGCTGAAAAATGCATTTTTGAGACAACAAAACTATTCAAAAAAAGTGGATCTAATCCGGCAAATTGTTTTAGCAGAAAAAAATGGGGAAAGAATTTAAAGACCTTGAAATGGTTCATTTTTCGCAACTTCCAAACAAAACATTTCAACTTTTCACCTTAAACTGTTCCATTCTGACTACTTTGAAATGAACCGTTACGAGTTTTCATTTCAAAATGGCAATTTGTTTTGAAATTTAGCTAATTAAAAAAGTGAAAAACACCTAAAACCAGCCCAAAATTAAATGAAAAATCCTTCAACTCAAAATGAATTTTTTTTTTTCAGATTTTTTGGATCAACCCCTGAATTGAAAAAATCAGTTTTTTGCTCAGCTCTGCTCATAAAGTCAAGTCAATTCAGATTGTGGCTGCGCCCTTGATACGCCTTGCATCACATTTAGTCCCATAGGACAGGGCTTCAAGGTCAGCACTGGCTGCTGATTAGCAGTGCAGTTTAGGATATTGGTTTTGACCCAGAAAGCCCAAAATGGCTTGGGATCTTCCTGTTGAAAATTCTGCTCTCTCTCCATGAGATACTTCTACAGCGACGACTAGCAACAGTATCTGAGCTAGTAGGCCCCTGATTTAACAAACAGGGATTTTTCCGCAATGAATTCACAATCTTGCAACTCACTTCATGCCTCCAGATCTGTTGACCTTCAGGGATTACAAAACTCATATGTTTCCTTGGCTTGCAGGACTGGGTTGATCTGCTCTAACTCAGCCAGGCATTATAGGGCTGGATGCAGAAATGGCTGGGAGAGATTCTTTGGCCTGCGTTATGCTGGAGGCCAGACATTGGGCCCTGCTGGCCTTGGAATTGCTGAGCATGTGAATTGTGTGTTATTGGTTTTTCATTTACTTGAAGGCTTCAGGTATCAAAGGGGCTTTTATTATGTTGTACAGTGTCTTTGGACAGAAGTACTTGGTGCTTCTACAACTATTAAAACCTACAGTCAAAGATAAATACGCTTTGTTCAAATAGGCCTAAATTTTCAGAAGTGGCCACTAATATTTGGGCACCACAATGTTTGGCTGCCCAGCTCCGGTATGTCTACACTGCACACTAAGACGAGGCTTTGACTCAGGTTCAACTCTACGCACCCTTCCGTTCACACAAAATCATTCTGACTCAGGTCAGCCAGCACTCCAGATCCTGCTAGGGGATGGGTCAGAGCCCGAATCCCACCGTGACTCAGATCCAAGCCCTGTCATTTTACAGTGTGGATGCAGGTCAAGCCGCAGACCCAAGTCGGAAGGTCTGTGTAGTGCAGTATGGAAGTGTTAGCACGGCTGTGAGACCCAGACCCAGCAATTGTAAACGCAGGCTTACAGTGCAGTGTGGATGCTCAACTTCATTTAGTTGAAAATCCAAGTTTCCATTAAAAACCAGTTTGGATGGAAATATTTTGACCAGCCCTAACTGAACAAGATAATCATACATAGCCATAAATCTCAATGCAGATTAACAGTAATAAATCTAGGTCCATTTCCCATTTAAAAACAAAATTAAGAGGCTCAGTTCTAGGGTCTGCTCTGGATTCTCCGTGTAGGAACAATCTTGGGTATTTAAGAACTGCTGGAGCAGCTTTACAGCCCTCACCTCCCAGCTGCTGGCCCACAGGGCGCTCCCAGGGTAAGGGGATGCCAGTGCAGCATCCCTAGGAGCTGGGCCAGTGTTTGCAAATAACCCATCCATTTAGTGGTCACTTGAGGGTAACAGAGAGTGGTGCTATATTCATCCCTGGCACGAGGTGGGGTGAGGTTCTCTGGCCTGGGTTATGCAGGAGACCGAACTTAGATGATCATAACAGTCCCTGTGAATTTACAAAAACAACAAGGAGTCTGGTGGCACCTTAAAGACTAACAGATTTATTTGGGCAGAAGCTTTCCTGGGTAAAAACCTCACTTCTTTGGATGCATAGAATGATCCGAAGAAGTGAGGTTTTTACTCACGAAAGCTTATGCCCAAATAAATCTGTTAGTCTTTAAGGTGCCACCAGACTCCTTGTTGTTTTTGTAGATACAGACTAACACGGCTATCCCCTGATACCTGTGAATTTAGACCCTCTTGGACCAAACTAAAAAAGTTCGCTGGCCAGATATGAATTGGGATCTTGCCCTGGAGCACCACCCTGTGCCACCAGCCAAACCAGCTTGCCTGGTAATTGCTGGAATAACTATGCTCAACTGACATTGATTGGATTAAATAAAACTCCCACCTTATCTGTTACTCCAGCAGCATGGGACTGCAGCTGGGATCCAGGTCCCGATTTCCATCCTGAACTCAGCGGATGTGCTTCGTCTTGGTTCAGTTCTGAAGTTCTCCGTTCTGGGTGCAAAACAAACAACAAGTGAAGATCACCGGTTTTTACCCATCCCAGCCTGGCAGGTTCCTTCACACATGCCTCGTGCCCCTCCTTTCCGGAGCTGTCCTGCAGGACACAGGAGATGAGGAAACAGTTGGTTTTCTATAGTTTTGACAGGACTTTCTCCAATTGGCTGCTTCCTCCAAACCTCCCCCTCCCCACAGTCTCTTCACCTCAGTTTCATTCCACACCTGCCCCTCTTACCCTCTTCTCCCCTGCCCTGTCCCCCTCTGTCTCCCTTCCCTTCTGTGTCCCCTCTCACTTCTCTTTTCTGTTCATGTAGCTGGTCCCCATCTAACTAAACCCTCTGGAAAATAGAAAATTGTTTTGCCACCATCCCACTGGCTCACTCTGCTGGTATGATCTACCCCTTTCCCCACCCTAGCTCTGTCTGGTTTGTTGAGATGGTCAACTCTTCGGGACAAGGAGATCTACCACCCTGTGTCTGGGCAACACCTAGCACAATGGGGCCCCACTTTTGGTTGCCCCGAGACAAATTCCTAACAAACATGATTAATAATGATAATAAGAAAACAGGCTCTCAACTTCCTTTGAAGCTGAAGAAAAGGCCATTGTGGAAAAGATAAAAGCATTCTTTGCAATGGTCTTCACTGCAGAAGAGGTGAGGAAGATTCCCACACCTGAGTCATTCCTTTTAGGTGACAAATCGAGGAACTGTTCCACGTTGAGGTGTCAATAGAGGAGGTTTTGGAACAAATTGATGTTACATAGCAATTAGTCATCAGGACCAGATGGTATTCACCCAAGAGTTCTGAAGGAACTTAGATAGGAAGTCACAGAACTACTAACTGTGATTTGTAACATATCACTGAAATCGGCTTCTATACCAGATGACTGGAGGTTAGCTAATGTGATGCCAATTTTTTTTAAAGGCTCCACAGATGATCTAGGCAAGTACAGGCCAGTAAGCCTGACTTCAGTATTGGGCAAACTGGTTGAAATTATAGTAAAGAACAGAATAATCAGACACAGATGAACACGATTTGCTGGGAACAAGTCAACATGGCTTTTGTAAAGGGAAATCATGCCCCACCAATCTACTAGAATTCTTTGAGGAGGGTCAACAAACAGGTGGAAAAGGATGATCCAGTGGATACAGTGCGCTTAGACTTTCAGAAAGACTTTGACAAGGTTCCTCACCAAAGGTTTTTAAGCAAAGTAACCAGCCATGGGATAAGAGGGAAGGTCCTCTCATAGATCGGTAACTGGTTAAAAGATGGGAAATGAACAGTAGGAATAAATGGTAATTTTTCAGAATGGAGAGAGGTAAATAGAGGTGTCCCCTAAGGGTCAGTACGTGGACCAGTGCTGTTCAACATATTCATAAATGATCTGGGAAAAGGGGTAAGCAGTAAGGTGGCAACATTTACAGATGATACAAAGCTACTCAAGACAGTTAAGTCCAAAGCAGACTGTGAAGAGTTACAAAGGGATCTCACAAAACTGGTTGACTGGGCAACAAAATGGCAGATGAAATTCAATGTTGATATATGCAAAGTAATGCACATTGGAAAATATAATCTCACCTGTACATGCAAAATAATGTACAGTTATTTTGCAGGGGACTTGGGGGAAGGGTTGGAATGGGGCAGTGCGGGGGGCGGAGCAGGGGTGGGAATAGGTGTGGTGGGGGTTGGAGGGCAAGGGGTGGAGGGGCGGGGCCTGGGGCAGAGCGGGGGTCGAGCACCCGCTGGCTAGAGGGGAAGTCAGCGCCTATGCATGGCAGGGTTCGTAGTGCTGGAGTGAGCTCCGCCTCTCTAGAATGGCTTTCAAAGTGTACGGTGGGAAAACTTGTCTGTTCCTCCTGGGGATGGTGGGTGGCAATGGCATGAGCTCTGCATACAGAGTGGTGAGAGGTGCAGCCCCGAAGACTCAGCGTGTAATTTGATGACACTCACAGCATCAGCCGTACATCTTAGACACTAGACAGCAGTGCAAGGACAGAGTCTGCCTGAGCTATGCTCATTCTCCACTTCCTGTGCCAGGGTGCGGGCGGGGTCCAACTGGCAGCTCTGCGACCTTACCCCAGCTGAGAGCTTTCCCAGAGAGGGGAACTCTCAGCTGGCCAGCGTGGGCAAGACTCCACCACTGGGCCCCACCTGAGTGGCACAAAGTGTCCAGAACAAGACAGTAGAATCTGGGCCATTATTTGGGGGTTTACCTTGGCATGAGAGTTCTGCTGTTTGCTCGGCTCCCTGCGTATTCATTTCTGCTCCAGCAGCGTCTCCATCTTCACCATCTGAAAGTCAGGGGAGAGCAGCATTACTGAGCTGATCACAGGAGGAGCTTAAGCAGAAAATGAAAGGGGCTAGGTCCAGATTGTTACCCTTGCACCGAAGTGCGTATTTATTCTTTCCTTGCAAAGTAGAATGGTGTACTAGGGGCTTACAGCAAGAGGAGACTTCCACAAAGCTTCTTTCCTCAGCCCAGGCTCAGTCTCTGAGCTTTTCTTCTCACCTTCCTCTTTGCCTCCTATTCCTTCCACTTGTATCCTCCCAATTACATCATTGGCCCAGTGATTATCACCCAAGTGCTCATAATAAGAACGGCCGTACTGGGTCAGACCAAAGGTCCACCCAGCCCAGTATCCTGTTTTCCGACAGTGGCCAATGCCAGATGCTTCAGAGGGAATGAACAGAACAGGTCATCATCAAGTGATCCATCCCCTGTCGCCCGTTCCCAACTTCTGGCAAACAGAAGCTAGGGACACCATCCTTGCCCATCCTGGCTAATAGCCATTGATGGACCTGTCCTCCATTAATTTTTGAACCCTGTTATAGTCTTGGTCTTCACAACATCCTCTGGTAAAGAGTTCCACAGGTTGACTTCATTGTATGAAGAAATGCTGCCTTTTGTTTGTTTTAAACCTGCTAACTATTAATGTCATTTGGTAACCCCCTAGTTCTTGTGTTATGAGAAGGAGTAAATAACACTTCCTTATTTACTTTCTCCACACCAGTCATGATTTTAAGGACCCATATGAGCTCCCCCTAGTTATATCTTTTCCAAGCTGAAAAGTCCCAATCTTATTAATCTTTTTGATTCTTTGGCTAGCTGTTCTTCAAATTCTTTTTCTGGCCTTCTTAATTATATTTTTACACTTCACTTGCCAGAATTTATGCTCCTTTCCATCTTCCTCGCAAGGATTTAACTTCCACTTTTTAAAGGATGCCTTTTTGCCTCTCACTGCTTCTTTTACTTTGTTGTTTAGCCACGGTGGCACTTTTTTGGTTCTCTTACTATGGTTTTTAATTTGGGGCATACATTTAAGTTGAGCCTCTATTATCGTGTCTTTAAAAAGTTTCCATGCAGCTTGCAGAGATTTCACTTTTGGTGCCCTTTTAAATTCTGTTTAACTAACTTCCTCATTTTTCCGTAGTTCCCCTTTCTGACATTAAATGCTACCTTGGGGGCTCCTGTGGTGTTTTCCCTGCCACAGGGATGTTAAATTTAATTATATTATAGGCACTATTACCAAGTGGACTAGCTATATTCACCTTCTGTGCTCCACTTTAGGACTAAATCAAGAATTGCCTCTCCCCTTGTGGGCTCCAGGACCAACTGCTCCAAGAAGCCATCATTTAAGGTATCAAGAAACTATCTCTGCATCCCCACCAACAGTGTTTAATTGATCATAGCTGAGCTTACAGCCTTCTTCAGGCTGCAGTGACATCAGTGACCAGGGTGCTGCTAATAGTGCCCTTCGCACCCCCTTTGTCAAGATAAACAGATGATAAGAGTCAGATGTTGTTTTAAGAGCCCTGGGTGTTAATTTTGCTCCCAATATGGACATAAAAGGCAAGAAGACACGCCCCTCGGGTCTGCACAATGAATTGGTTTATGTCAAGACAGACATTACAGGAGAGCAGGACTGGTGGGAAAGGATCAGTTATTCTTTTCTGAAACAATACATTCTAAATAAAGATGTTCCTAAGCAAATTGTTTGAAGCTGGTTACCTGCGCTGTCAGGTACTATCACCCAGGAGTTATCTCCCTGCCGCTGCTGGTCATCACCTC